AAGAGATATTTTTAAATCCGACTGACTCATTTAATGGCTGTAATACAGCATCTGCTTCTGCCTGGGGTTGCAGCCAGATCAGAAGTGGTCTCTTGGCCTTCACACACTAATGATAATTATTTCTCTTCTCTGTGTTCCCAATTGCTTCGTGAGTGGGCCGCCAGAAATGCTCTTCAGCTCCCGGGGTCAGAGGTGTGGAGTCTTCTACCACAGGCACTAGTCAAACCCTCCCGGAATGGAGTTAACACAGTCATACCACCTTCCCTATTGAATTGAAAGTGAAGATCATATTACTCCTAGCCTCACATAGTTGTTATGAAGATTAAGTACATGTAAAAACTCTTACGACAAGTTTCAGGACATAGTGAGTCACTCCATAAATATTATGTGTAATTAGTATTCCTATTTATACATAAGGACTGGTAGGTGGGACAATATCCTGGGGGGCATGATGATTCTCATTCCAAATATTAACCCCATAGAGACTCCTTGTTTCGTTGTTGTTCAATAAAAGAAAGTAATGTTCAGTTTTCTTACTTTGATGACATTAATTATTAAAAGGATAGTTCTTAAGGTTACTTTTTTCTTTTTTTAGCAATTTCTATGCCTTATCTCAGTGTTTCACCATATAGGTATGCTAGACAAAGGATGCATGGGTGAACATTGTTAGTTTTAAGAGCAATTTATCTTAATGTGTATTAGTGGGAAAAAATGTAACTGGCACATCAAATTCATGACTCCTTGGCTATTAAAGCCTAGAGTGAAGCTGAAATTTTAGAAAGCTGTAGGTTGAAATTGATCTATTTAAAATACATAATAAATATAGAACTTTAATGCATATATAATATATACTTCTTTAATATAAATATATATATTTTAGAAAAGGTTTATGGGAGTATGCCCAAAATTTGTAGAAGATAGTTTTATCTCATTTTGATCTCAGTCTTATGAGGCAGGAACCATTATTTTCCTCATTTAACAGATGTAAATCAGGTTAAAAAGGTCAATTATTTGTGAAGTCTCTCTTAACAAGTGGTAGACCTGGGATTCAAACTCATTCTCCTTGGTCTCTGTTGTGCCCCCTTTGGGGTTGTTTCTCACTTCTTTTCTCAGGAAGGCTTATTTTCTTTCCTTTTTTTTTTTTTTTTCCTTTATTGATTTTTAGAAGAGAGGAAGGGAGAGGGAGAGAGAGATAGAAACATTGATGAGAGAGAACATTGATTGGCTGCCTCCTGCATGCCCCCCACTGGGGATTGGGCCTATAACCTGGGCATGTGCCTTGATTGGGAATGGAACCAGTGGCGACCTCTTGGTGCATGGGTAGATGTTCAACCACTGAGCCACACCAGCTGGACTAGGCTTATTTTCTTTTTTAAAAGTTTTTTTTTTTTTTTAATCACTCGAGGACATTTTTCCATTTTTTGATCAGATAGAGTGGGAGGGAGAGAGAGAGAGAGAGAGAGAGAGAGAGAGAGAACATCGACGTGAAAAGGACACATCGAGTGGCTGCCACCTACACAACCCAACCAGGGACGGGAACAAACTGCAACTGAGGTACGTGCCCTTAGCACGAACCGAACCCGGGTCTCTCTGGACCGCAGGCCGACACTCTAACTGCTGAGCCAAACTGGCCAGGGCTTAAAAAGTTTTAATATTAACTTTGATTATTTGTTCCTTCCTATAAAATTAAGGTTTGTTATAGAAACTTTAGAACATTCGAAGCAGGTAAAAGAAGAAAAAAACATTTTATTATTGTAAGAACACTTGTATGAGTGCTACAATTTCACTCTTTTTAAATGTACAATACAGCATTGTTAACTATAGGCAAGATATACAGCAGATCTTTCCCTTTTCTGTCACAGCCCCTGTATGATGGGCTAAACAAGGACACAGAGAGGTCGGTGAACCCCCTGGAGCCCCGCGAGAGCGCACAGGCACGCCGAGACCCCTGGTTCCCAGACCCCTTTCTCTAAGCCAGAGTGCATTATATGACGGGCCCTGGCCAAGCTGTTCCTTCTTTGGAAGAAAAAGTAATGTGCCCCCAGGGTACCATCAAAGCCACCCGAGTTAATACTGCCAGGAGCTTCTCCCGGTTGGGGGGCAGGTCTGCGCATGGTGGCCTGGGCTCTGTGCCCAGGATGGCAGCAGGGATGCTGGCTCTGACCCCGCGCTGGCCCCTTCCGAGCAGGAGCGCAGCAATTCTGTCTGCGCCAAAGCGTGCGCGCGCGTGTGCCGGCTGATTTAATTAAGTTCTTCTCGGCTCCCGTGGTAAGTTTGGACAAAGAATTTTACGTTTTGTTGGTTTTCATCTGGTCACTTTGAGATCTTTCTGGCTCATTGCTTCCTTCAGGGGTGAGGTAGGGGAATGGGGATAGGAATTGGGATGTTAATTAGGCAGCTCTGGTGAATTATTCAAGTACCCGAGGAAGCAGATGCCATGTACACGGAGGTGTACAGCTACTGTTGCAATGTAGTTGAGAAAGAGCCATTCATCATCATCTGTGATTCTATGAAGTTACACCTTAGGACTCTGGGTTTCGGAAACTTAGCTCTTGTCTCGCCTCCACTTCAGGTCTGTGGCTGGGGAACCCAAGTGCCTCCGTTTTGGCGTTATAATACCGCGCCAAGAGACGCAGGTTCGTTTTGACCCTGAGGCCACAGCTGAGCTGAAGGTTTGAAGGCCTCAGACCTTTTCCATTTCAACGAAAATGTGATAATCCCAGGTGCTTGCTAAAGAATCTCCTCTTTCCCATCATTATGTTCAAAGATACTGCCCAGTAACAGGTAATATGGATAAAATGCATTTCTTTTTAGATGGTTTAAGCCTGTTGGTTTAAGAAAAGGATTTGGGCCCTGGCTGGAGTGGCTCAGTTGGTTGGAGCGTCATCCCATGCACTGGAGGGTCTCTGGTTTGATCCCTGGTCAGGGTGTATGAGAGTCAGGGGGATGATCTCTCTCTCTCTCTCTCTCTTTCCCCCTCCTTCCCTCTCTCCCCCCATTCCTACCTCCCTCCTTCTCTGTCTCTCTACCCTCCCTACCTCTCTAAAAAAAAAAAAAAAAGTAAAAGGATTTGGTAAGGAACTCATAGGCCTCCTGGTGGATTTTGAAGGCGATTGTTTGTATATGCTGTGATTTATTGGTTAGTAACTCTTACTCCTGTTACTCCTTAGGGCTCCTGCCAAGAACCGCACTGTTTTCTGGGTAAATTATTCTTAGTGAGAGCACAGCCTGTGGTGAGTTGTGTCAGTCACAGCAGCACACCTTGCCTGCGGATCTGGGCCCTGGCATTCATTTAGCTCTAATTCTTCCCCAGCCCTCCTCCTGTCCACTCTGACCAGCCTCAGCCACTAACGGAAGTGTTGTCAGTGAGCTTCAAAGGCACAGCAGGAGGCGTTATTCACCCTGGCAGTCTGCAGTCCAACAGGGGAGAAGCCAAGGGAAAACACACAAGCACCTACTCAGCCCTTTGATACTGCACGAAGCAAATTGCATTTCAAGCTCTAGAGAACATGCGTCATTCTAAACCTGATTAAGATTCATCCGGTACCAAATTGTGATCAGTGTTTATTTTGGAAAAGTGGATTGCCAGTATTTCCAGATTCTGCTCCTTCAACTAGAGGGATCTTTGTTTTGCTCTTTCTCTGGGGTAGTAGGAGTAAGAGAAAGCCTTGGGTTGTCCTGACTTGTTTGCTGGGCATAACTGAGAGGGAGTTTATTTTGGCTGCTTCTTGAATAACTCTGTACAGAGCCTGTGATGGGGAGACTCTAATTTTAGTCACCTTGACTCAGAGTCCTAATATTCCTCATTTTCTTGCCCTCACTGCTGTAGCATGGGATACCCACTTCTGGACCAAACCTGGGGTGGGGAGTTAATGAGCTCATTTAAAAAGGGGATGAACCCTGGCCAGTTTGGCTCAGCTATTAGAGCGTTGGCCCATGGACCCAAGGGTCTCAGGTTCAATTCCCAGTCAAGGGCATGTACCTGGGTTGCAGGTTCAATCCTTGGCCCCAGTGGGGATCATGTGGTAGGCAGCCAATCGATGTGTCCCTCTCACATTGATGTTTTTCTCTCTCTCCCCTTCTTCCCTCTCTCCCTCCCTCCCGCTCTACTAAAAAATCAATGGAAGAATATCCTTGGGTGAGACTTAACTAACAATAAATAAATAAATAAGTAAACAAACAAATAAATAAAATAAAAAGGGAATGAGTGAGCATAGTAAGAATTTAGCATGGAGCTACCTAAGCCCAGAGAGGGTTTGGAGCAGGTTTTGGTCTTGTTTTTTGTTTTTGTCCAAAATAAAATGCTACCTAAAATTTTGGAAAAGAAACAGAATCATTTCTAATTTTACCATGCTTTGTAGATGCTATGTAGCTTCTTTGATTTTTTTTTTTTTTTTTTTAGTGAATTTAATTGTACACCTAAATCTATGCTTTTAAAAAATATAAAATGGAATAATTCGTGTTTGGTTTTGAAACCTGTGTTTTTTATTTAGCATATTTTGAACATCATTCTGTATTGATAAGCAGGGGTCTCCATCATTTTTAGTGACTGCTCAATAAATTTCTGTCTGGGGACCCCTCTCCCTCCCTTCACTGGCCATTGTGTTCTCTCTCTCCTCCCTCTTCTCTATCATCTTCTGTTCCAGCTCCATTTTATTGTTTCCCTCTGTTCACTAAACATCTTATAGTTCACCCTCCAACATATACAAATAATATGAAATAAAGAGAGGGTGTTATTTTGAGCTATGCTGACTCTATAACTCATACCAAAATAATTTGTTTCCATTTTTGTTGTTGTTGGTGGTTTTGTAATATATATATTTTTTATTATGGTTCTCTGAGAACAGACATGCCAGTATTTTGAAAGTCTTCATATCCCCAGAAGGAAGAAATGACAAAGAGGCTAGACATAATGAATGTTGATGACCCTTATTTAGGAATATGACAGTCCCAAGCCCTCTGTCACTTCTAAGTCTTGACGTTGTATGTTGTTTCCTCAGACCCTGCGCCAGTCCACAGAGATGGGCAGAATGAAGCAGACAGCGCACTGGAAGACCTCCAATCTGTCGGGACCAGCCGGCTGCTCTATCACATCACTGACGGGGACAACCCGCTGCTGTCCCCACGATGCTCCATCTTCAGCCAAAGCCAGAGGTTCAACTTAGACCCCGAATCAGCCCCTTCTCCGCCCAGCACTCAGCAGTTTATGATGTAAGAAAACCTTGTTTTGTTATTACCTTCATTTCATACAGTTTGTTAAATACTACATTTAAAGACTGCAAGGAAGTGTGTCTTAAAGAACGCGAACATGCCTACCAAATGCAATAGCGAGACCTGATCAGTAAGAGGCAAACATCAGTGTCCTTGCTAGATGGGGACGCTGTTTTAAGCCTTATTATCTCAGGAGGAAACGGCCACCCAGAGCTTGCACATTTTTGGTGAAATGACGAGAGTCTTAAAGTAAGTCTATGTATGTGCTAATACCAGGAATATCATTCCTCATGAGCTCAGTATTCTTTCCACGCCCAGCAGTGGTGCCAGGGATGGACTGTGCCAACACTTTGTTGTCCACCTCCATTTCTTCTTAGGTTCTAGAAAAGTGGTAGCTTAAACAAGCTGCCGCACCCCCAAGAAAAAGTGTGGAACTATGTGTTCTTTCCTTTCCTTTTTTTTTAAGTTCCACAAATAATTTTGATTCATAGCTAAAATGAGATCCCCTTGGCTGAAATACATGCAGGAAATCTCTAGTATCTCCTTAATGATTTCTGCTGCTATTCGTGAATTTATTCAAACATGGACCTGTGAACTGTCTATTAGTGGGTCACTGCTGTTGTAAAGTGTGTGTCAGGTGAGAGGGTGGATGCGTTTTCAGGAGAGGAAGCCTGTGCCTTTCATCATATTCGCAAAGGCCCTGTTATGTCAAGAAATTTACTCATCTCAGTCTTCCTTGAAAATGTTGGTTGGTGTGGCTCACGTACTCTCTGGAGGATAATGCTACAATTGGGTTGTCTCTGTTTAGTCTTAAATCGGTCTCCTCCAAACTTTAGGAAATGCATTTCCTGGACCAATATTCTGACCTTGTACCCTAAAGTCCCTGCTGACATTGGCCCCTAATGGAGTTCTGTGATCAGGGGTCTCCATTCATGAGCAGATGCTGCCAGGGTAGACTCATCAAATAATGACCTGCCCTCTGGACTTCTCTGGTATTCCAGGCAGCTTGGTTTGTAGACCAGCGGCAGTGTTTACTGGACGACCATTGTTTTCTATTATTCTGTCCCTCCCTGTAATCATCACAGGCCCCGAAGTTCGTCACGTGGTGGCAAGGAGCCCCAGACCATCGCTCAGCTCACCAAGCACATCCAGAGCCTCAAGCGGAAAATTCGGAAATTTGAAGAAAAATTTGAACAAGAAAAGAAATATCGGGTAAGGACTGTGTCAAGAGATGCATTGGCTTCCCTGTCCTTCCTTGCTTGGTGCCACTATGTACCAGGGACAGCTCTGTTTCCATGGGCCAACCCGGAACCAATCATAAATTGAGTTCCCATCTTGGGTCTGTCTTGTTTTCACATGCTGTTCATTGATATCTACTAAGATATCTCCTAGGAATTAATTACAGTTCTGTTTTCAGACTAATTTAATTATTGATTACCCCCCTTTTTTTCCTCCAAGGAACTTTATTATCATTAGTGTTCTAGGAATTAAAATTTGAAAAGCTTTTGAATTATGTTTTGTTTTTTTTTTCTTTAACACGCTCCCATTTGCATTTTGATAACCTATTAATGACCCAAAGGACAGAATCTCTAATTATGGAACAGAATGAGGGAGAGAACGTTTTCTTTGACGTTAAAGTACTTCCTGGTGGATGGGTGGGAACCTCTCAAGTGACATCTGTTCAGGCCACTCATAAGAACACACCCTGGCCCATCCTCTCCCGTCAGGTGCCTGCTGGTGCAGTGCTAGTCACTGTTTTCTTACATAAGAAGCAGTAGAGTTAGAGGAAGTGTCCTGATAGCTAATGCTAGTTTTATTTTTTTAATTTTATTATTATTATTTGTTTAATCCTCACCTGAGGATATATATTTTTTAATTTATTGATTTTTGAAAGAGAGGGGAAGGGAGTAGGAGAGAGAGAAAACAAAACATTGATGTGAGAGAGAAACATCAATCCGTTGTCTCCTATATGCACCCTGACCACAGATCAAACCTGTAACCTGGGTGTGTGCCCTGACCGGGAATCGAACCCGAGACCTTTTGGTGTATGGATGACGCTCCAACCAACTGAGCCACACTGACCAGGGACATGCTTGTTTTATCTATTTTCTTTAATGGTGACCATGTCATAGAGAAAATTCATGTTCGTGTAGAATTGCACAAAGATACTGGTTTTTTTGGCAGAGGGCCCAGAACAGCTTGTTATTGGAATAAAAGAGAACAGGGAATAGCATCTCATACATCCTGAAAAACTTAAAGGCTCACTAAGCACATGGTCCCGGGGTAATTAGCAGGTCCCTGCGAGTGTAGGATACGTTCTGGGGAGGGAGACGAGGGCGGGTAATGCACCACTCCCCTGTTCTGTCTTAAGTTTCCCACAGTGGTTTTAATTTACCAAAGGCGTGGTTTTAGCTTTGCAGAGTGGAAAAAAATCTGATTGACTTTCAGGAAAACCTAAGTCAGGGTGTTAAAAATTATTCCCTTCTTTGAAGTCAGGGAGTCACAGACACTAACTGTCCTTTTATAGAGCAGAAGGGTGCTCTGCCCTGTGGGAGTTCAGATAAGGCAACTGAGGCCCAGCGAAGGCTTACAACTTGCTTGAAAGTAGTTATGCTTTGTCAGCTTAGGCTTGGGTGGTAGATTAAATCTGAGCAGGGTTTACAGTGGAGGAGGAGAAGTAAAATTCATAGGTATCCACATTTAGAAAGCTCCAGGTCTCCTGAGAGGAGCTGATATGTCCCCGTTTGCTGTGAAGTGTTATTGGATCTGTGATGCCCGCACTTTGGAAAGTGTTAGGTGACAAGTAGGGGGACTCCATTCCCAGGGCCTGTTCATAAGTCTCACCTGGAAGTTCTTGAATCAGACTGATCTGGATGTGAATCCAGCACAGCCACTTAGTGACTTTGGACTTGTTTCTTTACCTTTCTGAGTCTCCGTTTATCCCTCTGTAAGTGGAGTTCATATCAGTAGAGACTTCAGAAGTGTGTAAGCGTCAGTTGGAGGAGTATGCACATAAAGCTGACTGCAGTGATTAGCCCACCCGTGAGCCTATTTGAGTGTTGTTTGAACAGGCTGCATCACGGGAGCCCCTGCCTTGTCAGAAGCAGAAGGAGAACTGCACATTAGGTCTCTCCCGGACTCTCCTACAGGTGGCCACAGACCCTGGTTACTTTTTCTCAACTATAACAGCCACCGAGAGGCTGCCTATGTTAGAAGAGAATTTCTCCTGGCAGCTCCTGCCTTTGTCTAGAGACGCTGTAGAGCCAGAGCAGACACACGCCCACACACATAGACCCTCACACATGCTGACGGACGGATCCAGGCGCAGGCGGCCAGGGAGACGTCACGGTCACCCTGCTTCCATGTGTAGAAGTCTTTGGAGTAACTGGAACCTGCCTTGTCTCAGGAAACAGGGCTTCTCCTCACCACTTCCTGTCGGGGTGCGGGCTGTGCTTAGAGGTTTGACATGTCAATGGGCTTTCATTGGTTGCTGTAAGGCTTCCTTCCTGGCAGCCTGACCACGGACTTAATAACACTCACTGCCAACTTCTGAATCTGAGTTCCTGCTGGGCCTCTGTGCTTGCCAGTCTGATGCCTGGTGTAACGTACAGCGCATCTTTCCCTCTGTCGAGAAGAACCGTTTCACATTCCTGTCCAAAACCAGATTTACTCCCTACAACTGACTTTACATTTAACTGTCGTTCAACTCCTAGACCTAGAGAAGGCCGTTTTGGCCAGATGTCCACTTTCACTGTAGTTAGAGAAGTCAGAAATTGAAGGGTTTAGCCAGTCTTATTTCTTATTTGACCACTGAGAAATGGAGGCCCAGAGAAGGGAAGTGACTTCCTCAGGATCACACAGCAAAGACTTGATCTAGACAAGACCACAACTCGGGTATTTTCATTCCTAACCCAGAAATCTTTCTCGAGTGTCTTTTGAGCTGTCATTAGCAGACCACACATCTGGCCCAGTGGTACTCTCAGCATGTGTCTCTGGAGCCCCATTTTTATTTCCCTGAACAAAATCTACACTGTGATTTCTGAGTGTAAGGCCCTTTGGGGTGGGGGGTGGGGGTCTATTAAATGGAATTATTCAGTTCAAAAGCTGGAAGGCTTAAAGATTCACAGCTTGTATATGAAAACTTGCATGTGATTTGAAAGCTGCTATCCTTGTGAGCTTGACTTAACCTCTTTTGAAATATTCCCCAAGAGCAGGGAAATAAAAAGTTTATCTCAGAAGATTTTAGGCTTTAAAATATTCTGTCAGAAAAATTCAGCCTTACATTTCTCCTTAGTCCTGTTAGCAGTAGTGAAAGCTCACTTCTTTGGTGGCCTTTGGCTTAGGATCTTAGATTTTTGTGTTTGTTTTAACAGCATTTTGAAAGATGGCATTTTATGTGGAGCATACCCAGTGGAAAAGATGGGTTCCCAAGACTCTCATTCTTCAGATCAGAGCAGATAATTCTGTGAGGACTTAGAGAAACTGAATGTAAAACACTGACTGTCCATATAATCAGATTGTTACCCAAAGCCAAAGTACTAGACTGTGTATCAAGGAAGTAGCACCGTGCATCATTCTAGCAAACCCTGGATAGGACCAGGCTATGTGTGTTGGAGGTGTGACCCCCTGTTCACTGTCCATGGTCCTGAAACCAGGGCTCCCTCTGTGGAAATCATTGTATCCTGTCCACCCCCCACCCCCAAGTTTCCCTAGGGAAAATAATCGCTGTCATTTTCCTTCGGTCACCTTTTCCATCTTGATTTTAAAAGTATGGGTTTTACATCACTCTAGAAGTGACAGAAGCATGTCATGTGTTTCACGATTAATCTAATCCCATGTACACTTGATGATCCTGTCACGCAAGCACGGGTTTTCCCTTTGAGTTTGAGAGGAACACATTCATCTCTTTATACCTCTCTCTCACCAAAAACTTGATGTTACATGGATTTAGTGGATCCTTAAAGAAACATGGAAGAGTCCCCAGACTTGGCCACTAACAGTGCACACAATTCTGGCTATTGTGATGTTTATGATTATGTTCTCTTGAACATTACCATATATTTCCTTGTATATTCTCAATTCAAAGGAACTATTAATCGTGTTGAGCCTGCATTTCAGTTACAAGGGTGGCCTCAGCTCTTTTAAGAAAATTTCTTACTGAAAATTTCTTACTGATTTCTTACTGATAGGCTAAATATATTTGCCTCTCCTTGTCTCCTACTTTCTCTTTCCTGTAGAAAATCCCACTTTTATGCTTTGAGAAGAAGTCCAGAAATCAAGTTGAATTATTTATATTAACAGAGTCATATCCTTCTAAAGTAAAAAAAATATATGTATAGCTACACCCTAGTGTGATTAGCTACTTGGTAGGATATACATACCTCTACATATTTGTTTGTTGATGAAGACATATTCAGTGTTTCTATGAAGGTCTGGTAGTAAGCAACACAGCTTCCTACCATCCCTGCCAGTAATAACAATAATATTTGTGATTCTAGCTAACACATCTAGAGTGTTTAGCATATGCCTGGAACTATTTTCAGTGTTTTGCATATATTTACTAATATATCCCTCACAGCAACCCTATGAGGGCGATGCTATTATAATTTTCTTTTGATAGATGAAACTGAACCAGAGACACACTAAATAATTTTCTCAAGGTCACACACATATGATTACGTTTCATTTTAACATTGGCCTAGTAGGATATTGAGTCTATAAACAGTGAGAGTTGGAAGTCTGGATATCACTCTGAGATACTGACTTCTCAGACTATTGTGAGGTTTTAGGGATCCTGGGGTCTCCTTTCTTCAGCTTGGAGGATATGACTGATAGGAGCTAAATCTTCTAGTATTCTCCAGGCAGGTCATGGTCATAAGCCATGGATGGGAGCACAAGCAAGTAAGTGATGGTTTCTATCAGTGCAGTCGTCTACATTGATATAGCCTGGCAATGTGTGGGGTGTGGGTGGCCCACAAGGTGACTGAGGGTTTGATTGCAGGGGGCATTGGCACGGTTAGGAGGATGTGACAAATGCTGGGTGGCAAGACATGTTTGGAAACCATGTCCACGACAAGAATGAAAGTGTGGAGGAAGCACCTCCCACAGCTGAAGTTTGTAATGCCCGAATTTATCTCCCAGATTTATATGTTTTGTTCTTGAACTATCTTTGTGTGTTTAGCTGTTTTAAAATTTTGTTTTTCTTTTTCTCTTTCTTTCCCGCCCTTTTTTTCCTCCCTCCCTCCCACTTCCATCTTTCCCTCCCTTGGTAGCCTTCACATGTTGACAAGACTTCTAATCCTGAAGTACTGAAATGGATGAATGATTTGGCTAAAGGTCGTAAACAGCTCAAAGGTAAAACCAGCCAAGTGTCTCATTTCTGAAAAAAGAAGCGGTTAAACTACTGATAGTGTGCTCCAGGGCATTTTTTGTTTTTGTTTTTGTTGTTTTTTTTTTTAAATAATTTTCTACCTGTGCCCTCTTTAACCTTGTCTCCCACCTAGATTGGAGGCCCTGTCTTGAAATCAAAGGCCCTAGATCTCCTCCATTGTTTGGCCCCATTCAATTTATCTTTATAAGGAGACTGAGGAACTCCAGAGTCCCAGGTGGAATGGTCTACTTCAGTGCCAGAAACATTTCAGAATGTGGAGCATTAACTTCCCTGGGTTAGTGGGTTCTTGGATGTTGGCAACAGAAGAGGCCTCAGCCGTCATCTGCTTTGTAGACCACACGCGTAGATGAGGACAGTTAGGTCCAGAGAGAGGGACATTTATGCAGCTCGGCAGAGGTGAGCTAGGTGTAACACTCGGTTCTCTTGCCTCCTAATCCCGTGCTCTTCTTTCTCTGTCTCTCTGGAGATGGTGGCGTGTTAACTCTGAAGTCCATTTTAGAGGACTCTGCTTATTTACCAATAAACCTTTATTCTCTTCCTTTCTTCACACTCCTTTCAACACTTAGAGGCATGGGAGAGCTTCCAAGCATCTAGAAGTATGGTGACTAAAGGACGGGAAGGGCATATTAATTCAGTGGTATTAAGCTGTAATGATATAGCAGGTTGATAAAATATGCAGTGTTTAAACACCATGCCAGCGTCTCACTGAAAACAAACATCAAACAAAGAAAACGAGCTATGTAATTGAGAAATCAATCTAAATAGCCTAGCTCAAATGACCAGTCCCCTAACACATTCTGAAATGTAATTCCCTGATACGTCCCAGGTGGCTTTTTAATTACGTGGGTTTATATAAAGCCACATTGCAATAAATGTGGTTCTTGGATTTTCAAAGCTGGCATCAGACAAAATTGTGACATCTATCAAGTTGGGGCTGGCACTTGCGTCTCCCCTGTCCCATCTCTCCTGTGTTTCCTCAGGCATCTGCACAGGCAGTGCCTTCCAGAAGTACTTGCATTTCCACAGGGGCTCTTAATGACCGCAGAATGTTCAGAATCCAAGTAAATGAATCTATGAGTGTAGAATTTCAGCTGCTGTGGTAGATAACAGGTGAAAACTTTGAGGCCAAGTATCACTGGTCTTCCTTCAGAACAGCTGCTCTAAAATTTAAACCACTGAGTTACTCCCACACATGAGCCTCCATCTCCACGAGATCACAGCCTCTATGAGGCCCCTCTATGTTCACATGTCATTGGGAGCTAATGCTGTTAGTCTGGTTATTAAGACTGCCTTTGTCCCGTGGAAAGTCATCAGCAGCACTGTTTCTTTCTTCTGACTTAGCATCAGGGGAGGTAATTCCTGAAAGTCTCTGTGCTCTTATAAGGACCAGTGAGTCCTAGCTCATGGTAACTCATGGCATTTCTCTTAGAACTAAAACTGAAGCTGTCGGAAGAACAAGGAAGTGCTCCCAAAGGCCCACCTGGAAACCTGTCCTGTGAGCAACCCACGGTCCCCAGAGAAGGGAAACCAGAAGCTGTGGGCCCTGAGCCAAGCTCCTCTGGAGAGGAGATTCCAGATGCCGTGTTGACATGCTCGGAGAAGAGAGAGCAGCTTCCCTGTCAGGAAGATTCGAAGGTACCTCACCCTATCTCCACAGGGTCAACTCTCCACAGTGCCAGTGAATTGTGGTTTTGACCAATTCATCGGAGCACTCTGGCACCACATAAACACCTTTAGGAGACTGGCTCTGAAATTTTAGTCACACGAGTTCCCAGTGGGTTACTGACCATGACCTATGGATGTTGCCACATGATTCCAGGATATGTTGTTGTTCTGGAGATTATAGCACTGCCTGCTGATGGGAAGCAAATGGCAAAGACACTAGGAATACCGTATCCCTTTCTACCCCCCGTTTCCCCCCCAAAATTAGCAAATGAACCCCAGACTAGGATTACAATCCCATTTTGCCATGTTTCATTAAAAAATAAAGCAGGGATGAGGTATAAATAGAAAGAAAAGTGTTTTAGAATTTTATAAACAAATAGAGAGGTAGAGTTTCTCAAAGAGTGCTAGGTAAGTTGTCTGAAGTTTTGAAATTTCTCTGTGACATCAAGATTTGTCAGTTAGGCATTTGGACATTGAGTCTAGAGTTCAAAGAGAAAGATTTACTACATTTTATAAAGAAGAAGATGAAGAGAGCAGTTGGCATTTACCTGGTTAATCCCTCCTCATCCTGCATATCTGTGCTACAATTCACTTATGCCAAGGAACCTTCCTTATGATCCTTCCTGTCTCAACCCTAAGGTTGCCTTTCATTTCTTGAGTAAGAGTTATAGCTACCCTGATAGCTCTAACCATGCTCTGCATTTTGTCTCTTATAGTTTCAACTTCTTGAGTAGAAGAGTTGTCTATGGCTCATGATCCTGTTGTGTCTATACATAGGTATTGAATAAGTGTTCCCTGAGTGAATGGACAGATTAATGGACAAACTAGCATATTTAACTTTGGAATGAAGTTTCCTTGAGGAGAATGCTGCCTTTACCTGCTCTATTGTACATTATCTGGTCTTAATCATAAGATGGAAACATATGCCAAATCTCAAAGGTTTATCGTATGCCCCTGGACTAGGCATTTACATTCAGACATGTGATCTATAAGTAGAAATGGGCCCTTGGCCACCTTTATCTTTATGAAATAGTTTTAGACTTAAATATCTCTATATATATATATATCTATATAGATATAAATATAGATAGATATATATAGATATATATGTTGGGACAAGTGAATAGAAGGTTATCCCCTCTCCTGAAAAAATTCTAGACTTTTGTGCTAGCCATTGGGTAAGTGGACAACACAATACGTCTGTGATTTTCCATCCTTCAGTAGTGCTGATGGAATTTCCTATATTTTGTAGTTACCTTGAACACAGCTATAAAAGCAGCTTGTTCAATTCCAAAGTCCTAATTCTATGCTCTATTCAGTTGACTAGGGCACTGAGGGATGAGTCAGGATTGGTACAATAGACTTAGAGCAGGACTCAACACTTGAATGAGCCATTTCCAGCCATGTATACTTGGCAAGTGAATTAATTATGAGATACAACTTCCTCATCTATAAAATACAGATAATACCTACTCATATAATTATTGTGACAATAAAAGGAGATACCTGGTGACTGGTGGGCAGTCATTCATTGAAAAAAGATTTGAGTGCTTATTATGTATTGTGAACTTTGACACATGCTGGATATAAAAAAGTAAACAAGATATAGGTGTTATGGGGGGAGGCCACTACCCTAATGGAGCTCTTGTTCTTCTGGGAGTTTGGATACAACAAATAACTCAATAAAATCATTAAAGATTTTAATAAGTACTGTGCAAATTAACAGATGATATAATAGAAAATAATAGATATGGTTTCTACTTTAATAGAGTGATTAGGAAGAACAATAGTTGACATTTAATGAAGACGAATTAGCAGGCTAAGAGGCAGCAAAAAACATTCTAGATAGATCGAACTGCAAGCTAAGGGCATTGAAGGAAGAACTTGGTGTACTTGTAATTCTCGGGTCTGAGGGCTGGAGCACAGGATGGCATGAGATGCAGAAAGAGAGACCCAGGTCCATCCCACAGGACCTTTGAGGCCATAGAAAGTCTTGGGAAGCTGCTGAGGGTTATAAGCAGGAAAGTAAGTTGGTGTGATTTACATTTAAAAGATATTTCTGATTGCTGTATGAAGAATAAATTATAGGGGAAAAGAGTGGAAAAAGGAAGATAAAATGGGTGACTTGGATTAGCCTGGTAACCTTGGAGATGGAAAGAAATAGGCATTTTCAAAATACCTTTTGGATATAGAATCAAAAGGACATGCTGAATTACCAGGGGAGAGAAAGTGAAGAAAAGGAAGCATCCAAGGTGGTGATGGGTTCATGGGGAGTGGGAGCGAAAACTCAAGAGGTCTATTTTGGATATGTTAATTTTAAGATCTTTGAGGAACGTGGTGACCAACCATCCCAGGTTGCCTTGGGCCTTGATGCTTTTAGCAGTGAGAATTCAGTGTCCTACAAAATGCCTCAGTCCTGGGCAAACTGAGATGGTTGGTTAACCTACTGAGGCAGCCAAGTAAAACAGACACATGCAAGTGAGAGTCTGAAGATCAAAGAAAAATCTCAGAGTTCTTCAGATGTCATCTTTAAGTGGAAATTTACTTTCATTATTTAAAATAAAGTGTCTGTTGAACAATTTAAGAAGTGTCAGAAGCCCTTTAACATAAAACAAGTATTTCTGCAGTAGTCTAAAGTTAGGCCCTTTAAATAGAGGCATCTATACTAGAATGTAGGCCTTGATATCTAAAGCTGCGGTACTGTTCCTGGGAGAGCTTCAATATAGTAAACCATGAAGTGGCTACTCAAACTATAAGGTGGGTCCTGTATATTGCATTGTGTGGCTACCACTCAAAGTCAAATCATCTTCCATCACCATAATTTCACCCCCTGTACCCTTTACTACCCCACCCCCCCTTCCCTCTGGTAACCACTATTACTCTTGTCTGTGTCTATGAGTTTTTGTTTTATATCCAACATATGAGTGAAATCATATGGTTCTTAGCTTTTTCTGACTGACTTATTTTGCTTAGCATAATATTCTCAAGGTCCATCCATGTTATCACAAATGGCAGTATTTCATCCTTTCTTATAGATGAGTAGTATTCCATTGTGTATATGTACCACACCTTCTTTATCCAATCATCTATCAAAGGGCATTTTGGTTGTCTCCATGTCTTGGCCACCATAAATAATGCTACAGTGAACATAAAAGTGCATATATCTTTGTAAGTAAATGTTTTCCAGTTTTTTGGGTAGATGCTCAGAAGAGGGATTGCTTGATCATATGGTAACTCTCTTCTTATTTTTTTTTTTATCCTCACCCGAGGACATTTTTTCCATTTTTGTTCAGATAGAGTGGGAGGGAGAGAGAAGGAGAGAGGGAGAGAGAAACATCGACATGAAAGGGACACATGAGTGGCTCCCTCCTGCACAACCCCAACTGGGGCCGGGGATAAACCGCAACCGAGATATGCACCCTCAGTGGGAACTGAACCCCGGTCTCTCTGGACTGCGGGCTAACCCTCCAACTGCTGAACCAAACTGACCAGGGCTATTCTATTGGTCTGTGTCTATTTTTCTGCCAATACCATGCTGTTTTGATTATTGTTGCTCTGTAGTATAATTTGAAGTCAGGTAGTGTGATACCTCCAGCTTCATTGTTTTTTTTTTCTCAGTATTGCTTTGGCTACTTGGGGGTCTTTTTGGTTCCATAGAAATCTGATTTTTTTTTTTGGTCCTATTTCTTTAAAAAGTGACATTGGGATTTTGATAGGGATTGTATCAAATCTGTACATGGCTTTGGGTAATGCAGCTCTTTTTCAATCTCTTTTAATAATGCTTTATAGTTTTCAGTGTGTAGGTCCTTCATGTCCTTTGTTAAGCTTATTCCTAGGTATTTTAGTCTTTTGGCTGCAATTGTAAAAGTTGTTTTTTTTTTTCTTCATTTCTTTTTCTGAAATTTCATTGTTAGTATATAGGAATGCAATGGATTATTATACATTGATTTTGTATATTGTAACTTTACTGTACTTGTTTATTGTTTCTAATGATTTTTGTGGTGGAGTTTTTAAGATTTTCTATGTATAGAATCATGTCATCTGCAAAAGTGACATTTTTACTTCTTCCTTCCTGATTTTATATGCTTTTTATTTATTTCTCATGTCTGATTGCTCTGGCTAGGACTTCCAGAACTAAGCTGAATAAGAGTGGTGGGAGTGGCCACCCTTATCTTGTTCCTGATTTTAGAGGAAAAGCTTTCAGGTTTTCACCATTGAGTATGATATTTGCTGAGGGTTTGTTATATATGGCTTTCATTATGCTGAGGTACTTTCCTTCTATACCCATTTTATTGAGTGTTTTAATCATAAATAGATGTTGTAGCTTATCAAATTCTTTTTCTGCATTGATAAGATTGTTTTGTTAATGTGATGTATTACATTAACCAATTTGTATATGATGGACCATCCTTGTGCCCCTGGAGTGAACCCCACTCAATAGTGATGTGTTATTTTTTTAATGTATTGTTGTATTCTATTTGCTAGTATTTTGTTTAGAATTTTTGTTTCTCTATTCATCAGAAATACTGGTCTGTAGTTTTCTTTCTTTGTGTTATCCTTGCCAGGTTTTGGTATCAGGATTATGTTGGGTTCATAAAATGTGTTAGAAAGTATTGCCTCTTCTTCAATTTTTTGGAACAGTTTGAGAAGGATAGATTTCAAATCTTCTTTGAATGTTTGGTAGAATTCACTAGTGAAGCCATCTGGTCCTGGACTTTTACTTTTTGGGAGGTTTTTGATGGTTGTTTCAATTTCCTCACTGTTAATTGGTCTATTTAGATTTTCCAGTTCTTCATGATTCAGTCTAGGAAGGTTATATATTTCTAGGAACTTATTTTTTCTAGGTTATTGAATTTGATGGCAGAGAGTCTTTCATAGTATTCTAGCCTGATCCTATGTATTTCTGTGATGTCGGTGGTAACTTCTCTTTCATTTATGATTTTGTTTTTAAGAGTTTTTTCTTTTTTTTC